CTCTCTCTCTCTCTCGCACACACACACACATATATATATATATATATATATATATATACATCGGAATTTAGGGCCTCGACTTTAAGTCTTGCCCAGGGCCTCCAATCACCCAGGACCGGCCCTGCACATAATTATTGAAATAATTCCAACAATCTCCCACTTGGGCCACATATGTTTTATATCTTATAAATGTGTACACCTTATGAGCTCAAATATTGCTATCATATGAAAAGGTATTCCTTACAATCTCGTCCATTGACCATACTGATATAGGACTAAAGAGACTTTCGTCATTGAGCGTGTCTAAACCCAACAGTAATCACGTATACCAATATAGCCAAACGACATAGATCAAATCATGGTGTGTAGCATGGAAATTACATATAATGTGATCTTAACATGCCTATTTCCAACTGGTCCTACTTTAAACTTTATTGAGACCAAATCTTTACATAATTGTACAAAGTGTAGCCAAATACTTTATTTCTGCAGAAAACCAAATACACAAAATTGTGTCCAAACATATCATAGAGCTACCAAAATGTATTTATATGTACACATACATACAAACTCCCACTGAACCATGTGTACATACAAACTCCCACTGAACCAAAATATCCTTAAATGATATAACACCTACATGAGCAATGCTCATGAATACCTTATGTGTTAATCCTTTAGTAAGCGGATCCGCAATTGTGGAGTTTATCTTAATATGCTCTATGTACTGTTCACTTTGTACCTTTAACAACAAAGAACTTTCACAAGCTCTTGTTGTTGTTCGAAAGTATAGCTGTTAAATATTGTCACCGTATAACTTTAATACAAATCAACATGTTCAGCCTAATGACAAGTGTTTATAGCTATATTAAAAAAGAAGATGCCAAAAATTACCATAAATTCTTAACCATCGTGAACAGAGCTTAAAGTGTTTGCTTAACACCCATGTCAAAATAGCTCAATCACTTAGGTTTACATTAACCAAAATGGATCTATACTTTATACGCATCATAAAAATCAAAATCATGAATAAACCACACGATCTCCCAAAATATCTGATTTTGATAAATGAGCATATGTATATAACTTACATTCCCTATAATTACTGTATAACCCATTTGGCTGCTTTGCTAAATGATCCACTTTATAGGGTTATTCAAATATCTGCCTAACTTTATGCACACCTTAACCGAATGTGTACATTCTTTTACATAAAATATTTATTGGGCATTGAATTGAGACTAAACAAGTCTCCTTTGTTGTGAGATTATCTCCCACTGATCCTTGGGTATGTACAATCATTAACTTTATTTATCTCAAAGTACATATGAGATACTTAACTTATGATTGTAACATCATTAATGGGAATTTTAAATTTCATTAATGGACTACTTTAGTTTGCAAACAATATCCTTCAAATCTTTAAAATTTTATGGTTGGACTTTATTGTTCCAAAAATATTACTATTTGAGAAACATATTCCCTGTGTCCATAAATCTCTTAATAGAGTCGATATGAGTACAATATTTAATGACTAAACGTACCATATATCTTTCAATATTGCCCATTTGAATTACATTTGGTCTCTATTATTTGTAACCAAATTCACACCTTATGGCAATTTGATAAGATCTTAATGTCTTGTCATTCTAAATTTCAAATCATCTTTAATGCTTTATTATTTTAAGGTTGTTGAGTTTGCTCTTTAAGTAACAATTATCAAGACTTGATTGGGGAATTGTTCAACATTGTCTTATCAAATCTTCAAATCTACTTTTCAAACAATGACAAGTATAAAGACATGTACATTGTCAAAAGCAGTATTAGGAATCGAATTGATTCATCTTTAAAGACAATGTCTATAATCTAAATTTCTCCCCTCAAACTCAACATCCTCAAAAGATTTTAAATTTCCCCTTATAAAAATAATATATTGCAGCACTTAATGTTTCTCCTAAATGTACCTTAGTGAAGTAAAATGTCTTATCATACTTCTTTGAATGTCGTTGAATGTTCTATTCTTGAATTTTGTACCATTTTAAATTGCTTATGCAAGATTTAACCGTACGAGACTTTTACTTAAATTATAGGTCAAATTTTGAATCATGAAATAGACCAAGATTAATGTTTTCAAATGAACAAGCTAACCGAATTTGTTCAAGAGAAAATCTAAATCCATCTAATGACGGTACCAAATGTCTATTTCATAATTCAAAAGAAAACCTAAGAGTCCTCATAGCCTCAATCCCAAATGTCTTACATGACGTTTATAGATGTATATCTTTCAACATCAATTAAATGTTGGTTATGTGAATAACCCTTTATATACACACGTACGTGAATAGTGTTACCCATGATCTATTCACTAAATGTGTCTAGGTACAAAATCAAAATTTATTTTACAACAAATTAAAGTGAGAAACAAGCATAATTACGTTATTCGACTTACCTGAGATGTAAACTGCAATTATAATTATTTATCTTAAGGTGTACTAGTCAAATTAGCACTTAGTCTCTTCTCCCTTAATTATTTATTCTTCGTGTGTACGGTCAAAGTTTTATTCTTTATGTTTTACAACAAACCTTATATTGACCGTTCACGGAGAAAAATAAATTAAGCCATATCCACTTTCAAGTCAGCGAAACCACACTAACTGAAGTGCTATAACCGAAAAATGAGATTAGACTATTACTTAATGTGCTCATTTATGTTCCTTTTCGTTATACCTTATTTAAACAATAGATGTCAAAATTTAATTTGTTGCAACTTTATCGTTTTAAAATAAAACGTATCCTTACTATCTTTAAGGAACCTTCTAGTACGTAACCCCTAATTAAACCTTATGCCCCAAAAAGTTATTTAAAATAGATGCACCTAATGATCTTAAATTTTATAATTAGAACGATGATATACTCTAAGTTCTTCTATTGTTCTATCCAAAATAAAAAAATTAAGATCTATGCACCATAATAAATAATAATAAGAATAATAAATATTTGTGCAATTAAGCACAAAAGTGTTATAGGCAGACAATGTGTAAGTAGATAAATAAATTAAATAGAGAATGCAAATAAAATCAATATGCTCACATTATAATCCAAAGTTTGACTTTGAAATTTTAAATAACTATGGAATACATCTCAAGATGCCTAGCACAACATTAATATCAAGTCGTAGGGACAGTAATATTAATTGTAAGTGACACTCTTGTTGTAGTAATCAAACATTGATAATAAATCCTGTCAAATAATAAGTTCATCGTAGGGATGTAACTTTTATTCACATGGAACCCAACAACCATCACATATTTATTACCACAGATGCATATGTGGTTCGGCCAAATATCAACATACCGAGGGGTATAGTTAATATTCGCATGAATTCACATACACACAATCATCTTGACATTCTCAATAAGCTAACCTACGCAGAGAGGTCACGAGGGTGGCTTCATGCTTCAATTAGTTCTTTTAAATGTCAGACAAACTTAATAACAAGCCATTAGATGTACCCAAAAAATTATTCAAAAATTTAAAGTCGTTGTTGAACGCTAAGGTTCTAATGACATCACCTGAGCGCTAACAGGCAGTATCCAACACTAAGGTTGCCTCACAGTATTGTTTTCGAATCAAATTCTGCAATATGGTTATTCATAATAAATGAGTATGAATTGAAAACATCGAATCCATCTTTATTTTGAATTTGAGCTAAAGATGATGTTATGGCTCACAATTCAATCTTATTTAGATTTAGTGGCCAAAATAATTTTTTTTTTAACCAAGAAATCTAACCTTATATGGATTGGAACTAAATTATAATATCGAAACTTAATTAGACTTAAATAAAAAAGCCTTGAGTCAAATATCGAAAAAGTCAATTCTTATTTGGTTAATAATAACCACTATCCATATTTTGACTCGATAACAATTAAATGATAATGGATCAAAACCTTATTGAATTAAAAATTAATTTGTATCCTTAATTTTGACCTAGTAATCAAAAAATTTAAGTCTAAACGGCATAAACTTTATCATCTGAAAATTCCCCAAATTAGCCTTAGAAAACCGAATTTGAAATTCAAAATGAATTTCACTTTATTGACCAAACAAAACCTTAAATGAATTTAAAAGAATTCACATATTAGTTCGGTCCCTCAAAATAATTGAAATGTTTTAAACGGCCCCAAAACCTTAAATTAACTTTTTTATTCCTTAAAAATTGCCTTTGCCCCAAAACCAGAAAATCTTTCAACTTAAAGGACTTAACTGAAATTTTGAAAGAAAAGCCTTTGAGAGAAAAGGGACCTAAGATTCAGAAATACTCAATTTGAGATTTATAATATATTTTCGAAAAATATATGACTGTTTCGGGAGAAACTTTAAAAGCGGGGACTGAAATGCAGTTTTCAGAAACATTGAGGGCCCCGAAACAGATTTTTCATTCTTTCAAATTGACCCCGGCCCAAAATCAGGCATAACCAAGATACGGGCCAAATCGAAATATTGCTAAATATCTTAAACTTAAATTAGGGGACTGAATTGCAATTTTCCAAAACTTAATTAATCCTTCTACCCTAATCTGCCAATCCCGCCGCCACCACCATGCCTCAATGCTGATCATTGGCTGGCCAGAAAAATGGCCCCGCCGCGAACGACTATGGGACCACCATCCTAATCGGCCGTACACCACCGCCGGATACACATAACTCACAAGCACCCACGCCACCGAAATCCATCGTCGGCGCCCCGGCTGCCCCTTCTGCGAATTATGCCGCCGTGGCGAGACCGAAGCTCCATCGCCGCCCGAAACTTTACGACCAAGAAAGCCATAGGGCCGCCGTCGTCTCAGGAGGGTTTTCTTTATTCCATATTCAGATTCAAGTAACAAAATTAAACCAAATGGGATCTGAAGTCTGAACATTAATTGGTGGCATAGATTGGAATTGTGGTAGTGCTGAAACCGCATCGCGGTCGACATAAACAGATGACCGTCGCCCCTAATTTCACCTTAGATTTGGAATTTTCAAATCTTAACCTTAAAACCTTAATCCGAATTTTCAAATTCAGGGGATCTAATTTCGGATTTAATATCCGACCGGAATTTTCACAATTAAATTGACAAAAAAATAGGTTTCATATAATACTAAATTCTAGATCAGCATAAAGCCCAATTTTCAGAAATATGAATCCATGGAAAATATATATATCACAATACCGAATTGAATACTAATCTTAAAGAGAATTCCAATTAATATATGCAGATTATTGACCGTAATTCTTAAAAAATCAAATCCGTAAACATAGATTTGATTACACTGCAACATATATAATTTAACACACGGAAAATTCTCGATGACCCAAAATATGGTGGCTCTGATACCACTTGTTAGAAATTTTATTGTACATACATACGAATCCCAAGAACCAACATGCTTGAATCACCGAGAATTATAAAGAAACATAAATACGGAAGCGTACCTTACATCATTGAATTGAGTATGAATCGAATCTTGAATCTCCACTGAATTTGGAACAGGTCTTCCAAAGAATCCGCAGTTCCTTAATTATCTCTCTAATGATGGATTTTAGAAGAGACGGAATGGTTGCGTTTCTTTGGGGACCAAGACCCTTTATATAACTGTAGAGTCCAGTTATTTTATAATTGTGATTCAGCCCCATCAATAAATCACAATTAAGCCCTAATTGTCTCTACACATTAGGCCCATAATCATAGTATAATACCCACAAGTCCAACTCATTAATCTTTATTAGATCACAATTAATTTGGACTTTCTTTAAGATAACCATACATATTTACGTCACATGTGAGCCCACATAATTATTGAAATAATTCCAACACACTTATGTTTTTTTTCTCCCGCTCAAGGAAAAAAAACTCTTCCCCACCAAGCTACCTATTGGCCAAAAATTAGTTCCATGAATCTTAATTTGCGTCCCATACTCCTTATTATTGTAAAATTATTTGAATTTTATTTTTTTCAATTAATTACATAATCAATTGGATACGGACCAAAGAAGAAAATATGGGTTGGGCTTCTAGTAATCAATTCGATTAAAATTGTCAAAAGAGGTATGCTTAAGTAATTATTTATTTTACACTACTGAATAATTATTGCACTCTCGATATTACATTTGAGCTCTGGTCAGTCATTAGTTAGTTTATCCTCACAATAAGATAATGCTATAACCACCAAATAATTTATTCACTCCTAAAATTCAGTATTATATTTTATTGAGCCTTACCCACTTAACTTATTTGAGTATTGATAAGGGTTCGTTTTACATGTTTATTACATGTTTGTATATATTATGTTTCCTTCTTTTATTTCAATTTTAGGCAAAAATAAAGTGCACTACAACAAAATGTAGCTATTACGGCACTTGATTGGGGACATTATTTTATTGTATATATGCCTAAATATATTTTTGAAATACATGATAAAATCTTTTTATTTATAGGGGAAATATGCAATACCCCTTAAATGGAATATATTATGAGCAAAACTCATTTGACTTTTAAGACTTTTGCCTAAACCCAAAATCCAATCTTAATTAGTGAAACCCCATCAACAAATATGATAAGCCAAAACTACCCTTATAAGTAGTTTTTTAAAGTAATTGCAATATTTATTTTCCATAACCGTCTCACGTGATTGTAGGATTACATTAATTCTCTCTTTATATCTCCATATCTCTCTTTCGTTCTCTCTCTCTTTCTCTCACAAATTTTTTTTTACGCTGAAAACTCCAGACTACAGGATCATCGGTCTACTCTACCTCAATTCACCATTTCAAAACCTTATACAGAAGGTTTTTCCGTACCATCTTCTTCTACTTATACCGCAGTTGAAGCACCTAAAGGAGAATTTGGTGTCTTTATGGTCTTAAATGGAAGCAATCGTCCCTACCATCGTAAAATAAGAGCACCTGGCTTTGCCCATATATTGGGATATATTTTCAACATCTCTTCTGAGAACTAAATCAATCTATAGAAACTCGAGCCAAGTAATTACAGGCAACCATGGCGACCTCTGAAATTTTGAGGACGGAACAAGATCTTCTTATGTACACGTCCCTCTTCGACAATCCCAAAGATGAAAATGTGAAATCTCTAAGAATTGAAATTGAGAAGAAGATTGAGTTTCTCGAGTGCGTGGCTGGTACAGATATATATATATACTCATAATTTAAGATTCAAATTTTGTTTATTTTATCAGGTGAAGTTCTCAAGAAAGCCCGGCAATATTACCAGATGTAATTCACTATTCTTCTTACTTCGATTTTATTTGTTCTAGATGTAAGGCTCACAGCCGTCGTCTAGGGTTACGCCTTTCCTCCTCCCAACCCCTTAAATACCCCAAACACTCTTGCCTCCGCCTCCTCGCCACTAACCCGTACCGGGTTGATGCAAATAAAACAACGCTGACGAGATTTGAGGAACACGTAGCGCAATTAGGAGTGTAGTCACATTGGACTCACTGTTATTGAAGAAATACAGACATAATGTTACTACAGTCACAGTTAATTGATATATTTTTTTTCTCGAATTAATTGTCGAACAGCAGGCCAATTGGTGAGAATCATCTATGTAGTCGTATATAGTCATATGTAGTCGTACATAGTCATATATAAGATCTGTAGGTTTTTTCTTTTCTAATTTGCAATGATGTTGATGGTTGTTTTTAGTTGAAGAATTGATACATGTGATTTTTTCGATGTATTTGTATGGCTATAAGTTGACTTGTAATAAAAAGATTCAAAATTGTGATTTTTTTGTGCGAATATTGATTGGATTTTTTTCGTAAATAATAGGCGATCTTCTTTTTTTATATAATTTGGTAATGACAGTACTACACTATATAATCAGGTATTTAAAGTTGAAAATGCAAAAACCGGCAATATAAAGAACGAATATGACTACAGTTGATATAGTCACACACAGTCGTATATAGTCATATTTAACTATAGTCATATTCGTCGTTGTAAACGTGTCGTGAAAAAAATCAATTTTTCCTTTAAAAAGAATTCAAGAAAAATATTAGAAAAATATTAAAAATAAAAAGTAATACAAATAATTAAAAAAAAAACAAAAAAAAAAAAACACTATACGTCTGCAAAGGTTTGATTAGTGTGTTTTGATTTTGTATGTAACGAAGCAGATTTTTTATTTTATTTTTTAATGTTTTTGCAGATTTTATGGGCTTGGATATTGAGCTGATTTTTTTTATATATTTTTTAATTAGTTAGCTGATTTTAAAAAGCTGGGATATTGAGTGGGAAAAAATCACTATTATGTTGGCATTATTTAAGGAAAGCGAGAAACGTGGAATTATTGGGATTATTAGGTAGGCGATTTTATAATTTCAGAAGAGTAGTATTGGAATTAATATTTATAGGAGGTTATCACAAAAAAAGATTTGAGGGTTGAACATATCACCATTTATTATTCATCCAAGGGGTTTATTGCTAAAGGCCCTTATTTATAAGACATACAGGGACATTCATGTTTTGGAGACATATTTTAAAATATGTCTCAAATATAATTTATAAAGACCTTATTTTTTTTAAATTATTTTTAAAACCTATAGGGACACTAATCCATCAAAACTTGTAAGGACGTTAATCGAATGTATGCAATTTATGAAAGAAACGAAAACAAATACATTTAAACATCTATAAACTAACACAGTTGGGACTATCAAAATTCTATTAATTTAGCGAAATAATAACTTATCGATAAATTAATAATTATTAATCTATACATTGATTAATAAATTATTAATTTGTGAAATTATTGTTATTATTTTTTTTAATTATATATATATATATTATTCATTATACCATTAGTTTAGTGTACTTTAGAGTTCAATGTAAACCATTTGTGCAATGTATTTCATTTATTCAATGTATTTGATTGTTCAATGTTTTTTTTTTAATTCAGCGTACATCTTTTCCCAATTTATGAATACACGTTGTTAAAATATTTTGATGTTAAGATATATTGGTACCATAATTATGGTATATGATTAGATATTAATATATATGGGTATCATAATTATGAGATTTGATTATAATAATGGAATTTGATTAGTGCGTAATTTAGGGATTTGATTTAATTGTAATTAGTTTTTCTTTGTTTAGCTTTATTCTTTTGTGTATATATACTCGTACCTTTATTGAAACGAATACACATAAAATATTATACTATATTCATTGTTCATTAGTTTTTAACATGGTATCAAAGTAAGGGATAAAGTCCTAGGTTTTTTCTCCTTCTTTCCAAAACCTCCTTTCCTGAAAATGAAAGGTCTTAGTTGCCTCTCTTCTCACCACCTCTTCCATTCACTTCGTCGGCCGCCGATCTGCGTCGTCTGGTATTTTCGCCGCCGAAAAACCGCACATGTGATCCCCACGCACCACCACCTTCGGTCGTCGTTGACCCACCTGTCGTCGCCTGAGCCCCCCTCCGGCCTTCGTTTTTCCGATGTCTTTTTCTCCGTCAGTTCGCCGGCCTCTCGCGAATCTTCTTGTGGTGGCAATCTACTATTTCGGTCAGATTGGTATTTCTTGGTGATTTTATCCTACTTTTTTTTTCTCTAAAAAGTGTTTTTTGTTCTATTCTCTAGTTCTGAAAAAAAAATAAAAAAATGGGTGAGTTATTAACCACAAATAAACCTTTTTTTTCATCCTTATCTGCTACTATTACTACTGTTTA